GGGGCCCCCAGCCCGGGCCCCCCCCCCCCCTTTATTTTCCACTGGGGAGGGAACCTGACTCACCAGCCTTCTTAAAGAGGAAGCCGATGGGGATAGAGATAAGAAGAACCACTAGATATGTCCATTCTTCAGGCGACATGTTCTGGGGGAGGGGCAGAGGTTCCCAGTGAGAACCCAGGAGTCTGGGCCCCCAGCTCCTCCCCCTTAGAGGATTCAAGGATCCACCCCCTGCCACCCAGTCCCCAGTTGTCGAGGATCAAGGAGTCCTACCCTCAGCTCCTCTCCTCTGACAACACAGGAATCTCGACCTCCAGGCCCTTCCTCCTTCGAGGATAGAGGAAGCCACCCACAGAACCCCTCTTTTGAGAACGCAGGCCCCCAGCTCTCTTCTCCTTTGAGAACCCAGGAATCCAAACCTCCCGGCCCCCTCCTCCTTCGAGTATCCAGCAATCCAGCTCCTCTCTTCTTATCCCCCAGCCTCTCCCTCTTTGAGAACCCTGCTCTCCAGACCCCCTGCCCCTCTCCGAGAGGGCCTCAGAGGAGCCCAGGCCTCCAGCCTCCACCTCTTTCGGAGCTCCGGTTCCTTCTCCCGTCTGAAACCCAGAGAGCGGGCCCGCTCCCGAGCCCCACTCCCGTTGCGCGCACCAAGCGCGTGTCAGATACGCTCCGGGCAAAGCCACAGGCGGTTACGCCACCCGGGAGCTCGGCCGCGCTCCCGGCACCGCCCCCGCACCTCATCAGCCCGCCGATCCGCAGCGACCCCACACTGTCCAGACCCCTCCCGGTCTCCGGGGCGCCTCCGCACTCCGCGCCCACCGCACCCCGGCCCAGGCGTGGCGGACCCACCTGGCCCCGCGGTTCCGCGCCGCCCAGGGCAGGAAGCCGCCGAGCAGTCCTGGCCCGCGGGCCACCGCGGGTCCGCCACGCCTACCCCGCCCAGCACGCCCCCGCGTCCCCAGCCTCTATCGGGGCGCCGGCTGGGCTGCGCGGTCCGGGGCCGGGTGTGCAGCGCCCGGCAGGCTCCGGGCTGAGCAGGGAAGGAGCCCGGACTGGGCGCAGGGAGCACGACTCGGCAGCTGGACACGGACTCGGTTCTACCGAGCTGCGGGCACGCAAAGGGGCGGGGCTTCGGGCTCGGAAAAGGGTGGGGTCAGAAGCTTCGGGCACGGAGGGAAGCGACCGAACCTGGGAAAGAGGCGGGGTCTGGAGCTCAGCGTTCGGAACGAGGTGGAGCCTCCGCTTCAGGTTCCTTGGGACAGAGTCTGGAGGCGGTTTGGAGGCGGGGCCACAAGCTTCGGTTTTCTTCGGAGGTAGTCGATTACTGAAGGTCTCTGTTCGGATGTAGGCGGAGCCAAGAGCTTCGGCCGGATGTGGAAGGGCCACAGCGTCTGTTCCCTTCGGAGGTAGTCGGGTACAAGTGACCCTGGGTGGCAGGTAGGCGGAGCCTCATGTTTAGGAGGGAGGCGGAGCCACGGGATTAGGCAACACGAAAGAGGCGGGGCTCAGGAGTATTCCAAGGGGGCGTGGCAAACAGCGTCCCGGCCTGAAGGGGGCGGGGCCCCGGGCCGTGGTGCCTAGGGGTCGGGTCCAGCGTGAGGTGCCTCCCATTTCCAAGTCCCGGAACCGAGGAGGGAGGTGCGCTTCGAGGGGCGGGCTCAAGGGGGTTTCACTTTAGGGGAAAGGCAGGGATACGGCCCTGCGGGGCGGGTCCCAGACTTCCCGCTCCGCTGAGGTGGCGGCGTGACGAAATCGACGCAGGGGGTAGGCATGGGGGGGTGGAGGAAGCAGCGCGTGGCGCGCTACGTAAGGGGGTGGCTCCGCCGGGCCTGCGAGCTGGTGTTTACGAGGTGACTAGCTGGTTCTATCAGAGGACTGTGCCACATTCTGAAGGGAGCGCTCACGAGTGGGGTGAGCCCGCCCGAACGGAGAACAGATGGCGGGTGTTCAGGGGACCGGGCTTCCGGCTGTGGGGTTTGAACGTGGGACAGGAGCTCCAACTGGGGGAGCTCAGGCGGCCGGAGGGGGCGGGGCCTCAGGCTATGTGATTGACTGGAGCCGAGGACGCCCGAACGCTGAACCCCTTAAGTTCGGGAGGGGGCGGTGCTGCGGTTCGGCTGAGCCGAGGACTCCCGAACTTACGGACCGGTCACGCTCGGGCAGGGGCGGGGCTTCGTATTCTAGAAGCCCGACTCAGAGCAAGGGGACCTGAGGCCGAACCCCGGGGGTTCGGAAAGGGGGGGAGCCAAGTCCCGAGCAACCCGAAGAGGGCGTGGCCTCAGCGGGGCTTTGGCCTCTGGAGGTCCCGACACCTGACGGGGACACCCGAAGGGCGACGCCGAAATGGATCTTTCGAAGGGGGCGTGGCCCGTGCTGGGGCAGGCTTTGCTCCGAGGCGCGTGGGCCGGCCTGGCAGTGTTGGCCCAGACCAGAATGTTGACCGCGGGGTCCGATACGCCCCTGCGGGGCCCCGCGGCTCGGTTCGGGGCGGGGCCTCGTCTCTGTCAGCCCCGGGGCCTGGCGGGATCGCCCGAGGGCGGAGTCCCGCGCCCAGGCGGCGGAGCCTGGCCCTCCCGCTCAGCAGGTGGCGAACGCGGCACTGAGCGAGGCTCCGACCCCCGAGACTCAGGGGCGGGGCTTCGCCGAGACTGCCCCCCCGCCAGGCGGTGGGAGGCCTCCCCGCGGCGCGAATCGGGCGGCGAGAGACGTGCAGCTCTGTGGGTGACTGCTGTGCCCCTGGCTTCCCGCAGGAGGATGCTGGTGGTGGAGGTGGCGAACGGCCGCTCCCTGGTGTGGGGGGCCGAGGCGGTGCAGGCGCTGCGGGAGCGCCTAGGAGTAGGGGGCCGCACGGTCGGCGCCCTGCCCCGCGGACCCCGCCAGAACTCGCGCCTGGGCCTCCCGCTGCTACTGATGCCCGAAGAGGCGCGGCTGCTGGCAGAGATCGGCGCGGTGACCCTAGTTAGCGCCCCGCGCCCGGATCCCCGCCAACACAGCCTGGTAAGGGGGCAGGTTGGGGACGCCTGCGGGAGAAGAGGCTGGGGACAACAGGTCCCTGAGGTGGGAGGGGTCTGGGAGTCCTGGATTCTGGAATACTGTGACAGTAGGATACTGGGATCCCCGGGTTCGCGCCCCGAGGTTGGGAGGCGCCAGGGAGTCAGGATTCCTAGCTTCCTAAGGCAGGGCATGTCTGAATCCTGAGATTACAGCTAAGTTTACTTCTCAGGCATTGGCATCCTTCAAGCGCCAGCAAGAACAGGGCTTCCAGGAGCAAAGTGCTCTGGCAGCTGAGGCCCGTGAGACCCGTCGTCAGGAGCTCCTAGAGAAGATTGCAGAGGGTCAGGCTGCGAAGAAGCAGAAGCTGGAACAGAAATCAGGGAGCAGCGGGAGCCAGGAGGCCGGTGGGAACCAAGCTGCAGAAGAGAATGAGGCCAGTGCTGGCCCGGCTGCTGGAGAGCATGAGGAAGCAGGTGAAGGTGGGAGTTGGAGTCCAGGGACCAGGGGAAGGAGGGAAGAGATCTTTGGGAATTTTGGCAGGGAATCTAGGGCTGGTTCTCCCTGGGGCTGGGAAACCCTTGCCCCTTGGATTTACCAAACTCTCTTGGATTCACCCCCCGCACCAGGCTCCTCCTCTCCCCAGCCAGGGCCTTCAAATGGGGTGGCTCCTTTGCCCAGGTCTGCTCTGCTCATCCAGCTGGCCACTGCTAGGCCTCGGCCCATCAAGGCTAGGCCTCTGGACTGGCGTGTCCAGTCCAAAGACTGGCCCCACGCTGGCCGTCCTGCCCACGAGCTTCGCTACAGCATCTACAGAGACCTGTGGGAGCGAGGCTTCTTCCTCAGTGCGGCTGGCAAGTTCGGGGGCGACTTCCTGGTCTATCCCGGTGAGTTTGTGTTGGGACCTCTGATTGCCACTCATTTCTTCACAATCCCACTACATTCTGCATTTTTCTTTTCTTTTTTTGGCTTCATTTTCTCAGCCTCTGAAACCATGGAAGGACAGGAAACACTTGGGAACCCGTGCTCATTTGAAGGGCAGTTTAGTAAATGGAAAAAGGGGGCAAAAAAAAAGAACAGCTCATAAAAAACATGTATAGTAAAAAGTAAATCATATTTTATACTGTTATGCAGTTATAGACAAATTATTTAAGTAGTCTTAAAAATTGTGCCTCTAGTGAAAGAATATGAAAAGAACTTAAAGTGGAGTACTAAGTAGCCAGAGAATCCTATCAAGCAAATGGGAAAAAAGCTTGAAAGGATTTGCTCCAGCCCAAAGACAAATAGTTAATAGTTCTGGGAGGGAATTTGCATCAGGAATAGGTAAGGGGGACTTTTGATGAATCAGTTAATTTTTGAATTTATTGTGTAACTTAAAGGTTAAAAAAAAAGTGCAGAAAATCACTCTGTTTGTTCTCCTTAAGAACATAGATAGAACTGCCTGATAAGTGGTCAGATCTTAGCCATTCATTGGAGACTGTCCACTAAGTTCCCTGCCGGTGAGTTGACAGGCTTATTCTCTTCTCAGACTAAAATTGAACTGACTGATTTAGGAGCTGAGAACAGTTTCCCTGCCCCATTCTCTATAAGTAACCATGGTTTAATTACTTTGCTGCTGTTTTTTTGGGGTGATTTTTGTATGCTAAAAAAAAAAAAAAAGATTATTTTGGTTTTGCAAATGAATATTCAACTGACTAAACATACAAATGCTAATTTCTAGGTTTTTTCTAAGCGTTCAGTTCAATTTATAAAACTTAATTTTTTCGGGCTTCCCTGGTGGCGCAGTGGTTGAGAGTCCGCCTGCCGATGCAGGGCACACGGGTTCGTGCCCCGGTCCGGGAAGATCCCACATGCCGCGGAGCGGCTGGGCCCATTAGCCATGGCCGCTGAGCCTGTGCGTCCGGAGCCTGTGCTCCACAACGGGAGAGGCCACAATGGTGACAGGCCCGCGTACTGCAAAAAAGAAAAAAAGAAAACTTAATTTTTTCAATCTACCAGATTTTAAGGGGACCATTAATTCATGTTTGATCCCATTTACAAAAGGAATTAAGTAGTTTCAAACATTATAAACTGCATTTTAAATTTTATTTATTTTTTTTTAAGTTCTGCAGCTTTCTGATTATGAATCTTGCCAATAACTTAACTCTAATAAGTTATAAATGGGGTGATTTTTAAGTTTATATTCTTGCACTGTTAATAGACTTACTAAAACTTAAGATTAAAAAAAGTTTTTAATCACTCAATCACACATTTGAAACTAAACCACAAGGCTGACCTGTTACTTGTAATAGGTCAATATTTCTAAAACAATAAATACTCAATGTATCAAATATACATAAAATCTTTGTCCCCTGAAGATTAGTATTCAAGGTCTGAATCTCTTAAATACATATTTCTAGGTCTAACTCTAAATCTTCCTGAGGTTAAAAGATGCTAAGTTTCTTGGAAAACAATTTTGGGGTAACTTCTCAAGCATTTTGATGCTCCTTTCTCAGCTGACTGAGGTATCATGACAACCAGAGAGGTGCCTGGCTCCTGGAGAGGTTCTTGCTGGAAACCCAGCTGCCAGGGAGGGCCTTGATTTATAGTTGCTATGACGTCCCCTCAGATGGAAGGTCTTATAGCCTTGCTCTTTTATTTATTTATTTTTTTCCTCCGTTTTATTGAGACATAATTGACATACAGCACTCTATAAGTTTAAGGGGTACAGCATAATGATTTGACTTATACACATCATGAAATGTTGACCACAGTAAATTTAGTGAACATCCATCATTTCATACAGACACAAAATTAAAGAAATAGAAAAAAAAAGTTTTTCCTTCTGATGAGAAGCCTTAGGATTTATTTGCTCTCTTAACAATGTTTATATATAATGAACAGCAGTGTTAATTATATTTATCCTGTTGTACATTACATCCCTAGTACTTATTTATCTTAGAACTGCAAGTTTGTACTTTTTGACTACCTTCATCCAATTCCCCCTCCCTCCATCCTCTGCTGCTGGTAACCACAAATCTGATCTCTTTTTCTATGTCTTTGTTTATTTTTGAAGTATAATTGACCTATAGTACTGTGTAAGTTCCTGGTATGCAATATAGTGATTTTATATTTCTATATATTTCAAAACGAGCACCATAAGTCTAGTTACCATTTGTCACCATACAAAGACATTACATAATTATTAACTATATTTCCCACACTGTACATTTCTTACCTGTGAGTCATTTATTCTGTAACTGAAAGTTTGAACTCCTTAATCTTCCTACCTATTTCCTCCCCCAGCCCTCCCCGCCTCTGACAACCACCTGTTTCTTCTCTGTATCTATGACTCTGTTTTTGTTTAGTTATGTTTGTTCATTTGTTTTGTTTTTTAGATTCCACATATAAATAAAATCATACAGTATTTGTCTCTTTCTAGTTTATTTCACTTAGCATAATACCCTCTATTATGCTGATAGAGGTCCATCCATGTTGTCAAAAATCCCAAGATTTCATTCTTTTTTATGGCTGAGTAGTATTCCGTTGTATTTATTTGTGTGTGTGTGTGTGTGTGTGTGTGTGTGTAAATACCACATCTTCTTTATTCATTCATCTATTGATGGGCATTTAGGTTGCTTCCATATCTTGGCTATTGTAAATAATGCTGCAGTAAACATAGAGGTGTGTGTATCTTTTCAAATTAGTGTTTTCAATTTTTTCAGATAAATATCCAGGAGTAGAATTGCTGGAAGCTTTGCTCTTTTAGATTTACATTACCTGTTACTTAGTTTTCTGGAAAGTGCCCTACTCAGGGTCCTACTTTACTTGAAAGCATTCATCTAATCTGGGGGCAAACTATAGCCCCAGGTCAAATCCGGCCCACTGACTGTTTTTTTTTAAACAAAGTTTTATTGGAACACAGCCTTGTCCATTTGTTTACATATGGTCTGTGGCTGCTATTGTGCTAGAGTGGCAGATTTGAATGTTGGCAGCATGGCCCACAGAAACTGAAAATATTTACTCTCTGGCCCTTTTCAGAAAAATTTTGTTGACTCCTTTCTTCTATTTTATTATACCATCCTATTGTAAATTGTTTTCTTACTTCTTTTAGTCTGTTAGAGTCACTTCTCGTTGGATATTTACATGATACCCTTTTGAGTTCCTCATGGCTTTGACTGACAACGATGTATTCAATTATTTGTTTTCATTTTTGTTTTTTAAATAAGATTATGCTATACATGTGTGTCAACTTGCCCCACCTCCAAGGTCCAGGGGTGTCTTTTAAAATACTGGTAGTGATAGCTGGAACCATCCCCATGTCCTCCGTGTGGACGTCCCAGTGTCTTCCAGCTCCCTGCCACTGGAAAGTGCTACCTGCCTCTCTCCTTCACCCAGGCGACCCGCTCCGTTTCCATGCTCACTACATCGCTCAGTGCTGGGCTCCCGGGGACCCCATCCCACTCCAGGACCTGGTTTCTGCTGGCCGCCTCGGCACCAGTGTCAGAAAGACACTGCTGCTTTGCTCTCCGCAGCCTGATGGTAAGGTGGTCTACACATCCCTGCAGTGGGCCAGCCTGCAGTGAACTCCAGAGACCTGTGGGCACGTGCCTGTGTCCTTGGCAAGAGCCTTTCTAGATGGTCCCAAGCTCATCTCCGAGTGGGAGGCTCGACCACCCTCCTGCCTCTCTTGGCAGTTAGTTTTTGATTCCAGATTTATAAACACTACATCCTTCTCATGTCCCTCCCTGATTCAAAGCACTTAGTGGCTGTGTTGTTTTTATAGTTACCTATTTCCAACTGTGAGTTTCTTGAGTGTGAAAGCTGATTCATCTCTGTTTCCTACAGGGCTTAGGTCCCAAGAGGTCTCAATAAACTTGTTGAATAAATGTGGAGTTTGTGATTTGAATCCTTATGACAGTCCTGGAAAATGTGGCCATTTGTGTCTGCTTGTACAGATGAGGAAAAGGCCTGGAGGAGGGGAAATGACTTGTCTGAGGTCACACATCTAGTAGGGAGCAGGGCTGGGATTTAAAACCTGGTCTTTCTTTTTTCTTTTTTAATTGATTGATTGATTAATTAATTTGGCTGCACTGCGCGTCTTGTGGGATCCTAGTTCCCTCACCAGGGATTGAACCCTGGGCCCTCAGCAGTGAAAGCGCAGAGTCCTAACTACTGGACTGCCAGGGGATTCCCAAACTTGGTCTTTCTGACACCAAATTTTGAGGTCTTCCACTGCACTAGACTTCCTTTTGAAAACATTTTTACAAGACATTTCAGATGCATGCAAAGGCATAAATAAAAATAACACATGAAGAAAAGAAGGAAGCGAGTGTTGCAGTTTTAGGATAGCCATTTGGGGTAGGGAGGGGAATGTCAGGGGTCGTCTTTTTCTTGCCTTGGGTGGTGTTTATTCAGGTGTTTGGAGAATTACTTTTTTTTTTTTTTTTTTTTTTTTTTTTTTTGCGGCACGCGGGCCTCTCACTGTTGTGGCCTCTCCCGTTGCAGAGCACAGGCTCCGGACGCGTAGGCTCAGTGGCCATGGCTCACGGGCCCAGCCGCTCCGCGGCATGTGGGATCTTCCCAGACCGGGGCACGAACCCATGTCGCCTGCATCGGCAGGCAGACTCTCAACCACTGCGCCACCAGGGAAGCCCCGAGAATTACTTTTTATACCATACATTTGTATTCTAGATCCTCCTTTAAGTGTATGTTCTATTCCACAATTTTTTACAAAAGCTAAAACACATACGTATGAAATATGCATTTGTAAAACGATCTATATAGCGCCTTTCTGCTTGAAATCACTAGAACGTTACCAGTACCAGCTTCCAATATTTATACATTGATTTTTTTTTTAGACTTTCTAGATGTGGACCATTTTTATTTATTTAAAACAGTTTTTTAAACATTATTATTATCTTTAATATTTATTTGTTTTTGGTTGCGTTGGGTCTTAGTTGTGGCATGCGGGATCCTTTCGTTGTGGCATGTGGGCTCCAGGGCGCAGGGGCTCTGTAGTTGCGGCGCTCTGGCCCTCTAGTGGTGTCCCATGGACTCAGTAGTTGCGGCACGCGGGTTTAGTTAGCCCCCCAGCACGTGGGATCTTAGTTCCTGGACCAGGGGAGCCATTTTTAAAGTCTTTATTAAATTTGCTATAATACTGCTTCTGTTTTATGTGTTGTTTTTTTGGCCGTGAGTCACGTGGGATCTTAGCTTCCCAACCAGGGATCAAACCCGTGCCCCCTGCATTGGAAGGCAAAGTCTTTTTTTTTAATAGATTGATTTATTTTTGGCTGCATTGGGTCTTTGTTGCTGTGCGTGGGCTTTCTCTAGTTGCGGCGAGTGGGGGCTACTCTTCGTTGCGGTGCACGGGCTTCTCATTGAGGTGATTTCTCTTGTTGTGGAGCACGGGCTCTAGGAGCGTGGGCTTCAGTAGTTGTGATGCACGGTTTAGTTGCTCTGCGGCATGTGGGATCTTCCCGGACCAGGGCCCGAACCCGTGTCCCCTGCATTGGCAGGCAGATTCTTAACCACTTCGCCACCAGGGAAGTTCCTATATCTTGATTTTTTAAATGTGTAGCTTTGTTAGGTCACATAGATTTCGTTACTGTAATACAGTCACATGATGAAAATTCTGGGGCTGAAAGTCACCACCTCTGGTTCTCAATTTCTACCCCTCCCCCAATTTCTTCTTTCTTTCTTGCCCTATTTGGTGAATAAACTTGATAGACTCTTGATGTCCTGCAAGCTTATATTAGTTAATTAATTTATTTTTGGCTGCACCGTGTGGCATGTGGGATCCTAGTTCCCCAAACCGGGATAGAACCCCGCACCCCCTGCAGTGGAAGCACGGAGTCTTAACCACTGGACCTCCAGGGAATTCCCTAAGCTTAGATTTTAATTTAAACTAGGATACTAACTCCTGCCGGGCTAACACTCTATACTTTTGCCTGTTTTGTAATTTCTCCAATACCTCTCTTCTCTCTACAACAAGGTACTTTGATGACTCAGGGCCTGCGTCCCGAGTCTTCCCTCTCAAAAGTTCCTCATTAAAAACCATTCTGGGGCTTCCCTGGTGGCGCAGTGGTTGAGAGTCCGCCTGCCAATGCAGGGGGCACGGG